ACTAAACTGAGATCTTAAATTGAATCAGTTCAGCTATTCATACTAGATTTATAGGAAAACAAAACATTCTTAAAATGACCTGTTATAAACAATATTTAAACACTAGGAGTCTTTATAGTAAGTTGTAAGCAAAAATAACAAAAACAANTGAATGCAGTATTCCAAGTGTGGCCTTACCAAGGCATTATAAAGTGATATTAACATTTCACGTGATCTTGATTCATTCTCTCAAATGTTAAAGCACTAAATTCTCTGCAATAAAGTTCCATGACTAGTCACAGCCTTGATGCTACTGCCTTTTACAAAGCATTGAAGACCTCAATATACCCCATGGCATCAAGACTGGAGGTTAGCTTTCATGAGATGTTATTGTTCTGCTAAATGACCATGGCATCGAGATTGGTTTTTTGCATTGTTTATAACATGTTCTTAGCTGCCCAAAGCCACATCCGCAAGATGCAGGGACACTTAAATTGGTAAATTAAAAAATGGAATATGTAAATGTATATGTTACTGCAGATTACTTCTGCTGAATGCTGACTGCCGGGTGCCTGCAATTTGGCAGTTCAAATCTCACCAGGCTCAAGGTTGACTCAACCTTCCATCCTTCCAAGATCGGAAAAATGAGGACCCAAATTATTGGAGGCAATATGCTGACTTTGTAAACCGCTTAGAGAGGGCTGGTAAAGCACTGTAAAGCAGTATATAAGTCTAAGTGCTACTGCTATAGCACATATACACTACTTTCAATATTTTTTAAAATAAGTGCACAAATAACTTTTTTTATAACTGCTGTGCATTTAAAAACATGAAATGCACCTTAGCTCTACAACATGGCCAACACTAGGACTACAAAAAGCTTTGGGTTTGAAGTAGTAGCTCTATGAGCTAGACCAAATTGGCTCCATGGGAAGGCCAAAACTGCATTTTAGTGAGACAGACCCATGAGGGGGAATCTGTGGCACGTGTACCAGAGGTGGCACACAGCACCCTCTCTGATGGCATGCAAGCTGTCACCCAGTTCAGCTTTGCCGCACTTGCACCCGCGCAGCCCACCAGTGAGCTGACATTCGGGTCTGTCACACATGTGGAGGGAGAGGCATGTATGAGGGTCATGCATGCATGTGTGTACAGCACGTGGGGGGGGGTCACACGTACATGCACAGGGGTCGGGTGCATGGGGATGGTTGGGTGCACATGCACGGGGGTGGGATGCATGCACAGGGGGTGCACATTGCATTGGGGAGTTCATGCATGCTAGTGCATGCCTTGGACACTCGGTCCAGAAAAGGTTAGCCATCATTGAGATAGACTTTTGCTAGTCTGCTTAGGCAGGAATGAGTCACTCAAGTCACTTCCTAACAATGATGTCCTTTCCTTCGGGCTTCAAGAATGTCCCTGCCCTTGATGCTTCTGTATATTCCCTTCAAGGCCGTCTCTATGATTCTCTACACAATAAGAAGCATGTAATCCAAAGCCACATTTCTCCTTCAAATTTGAAGTGCTGCACTGCCACAGGAACCACCAGACCAGTGCTGCATTTGTGCAGTTGAACCAGTATTTAATATTATTAAAGGTGAATTAAAAGTAATATGCAGCATTGAAGATGTGTAATATTTACAGCATTTATGTAAACATCTAAGTGACTTTGCTGATTTTTTTTGGGTGGAAATCTCCAGGGAACCTCAGAGTTGAAAGCTAGATGAGAAGTCAAAAAACTATTGTTAAAAAAGACTTAGATTAATGGCAAATAAATCCTGTACTGTTGTCAAGAGAACTACATAAAAATGTCCAGGAGTTTAAATTGAATCAAAGAAAACTACTTTTTTAAACTGATGAAATGTAATAAAAGAACACCCAGTAGTCTTTAATGTGTTTCAAGGGCTACAAATTTTCTAGAAATGAAGGTAGTTATTCGTAATGGTCTTTCCCAAAAATATTTTGGTCATGTTACAATGAGGAAAATGAAATGGGAAAAAAAAACATCTTTTAAAAATAACTTTATGAAATAGAACTTAAGGTAATAAGATAATAGCCATAGTTTCCAAGTTCATGTACACATCTAAGCATAAATATTCATAGTGAATAAATTTTTCCATCACTATTTTGGGTAAAACCTCACTGAGTTTCACAATCCTCTTACATCTCTTTGACATCCCCCAATTTAAAAATGAAATGGAGTAGGCCAAGGTTTAAAACAAATTAGAAATGCAATGTAAAACTTTTCTATGGTATAAAAATCTGAGAAGCTTAAGAAAGATGGGAAGGAAACACTTATCAACAAAAACTAGTAAATTAAAATAATTTGTTCAAAACTGCAAGGCTGTAGTAATTTAATAGCAAGGCTTGACTAGCATTGTATCAGGTTGTGCAATTAGTATCACTAATTACATACACCTGATATAATGCTAGTCCAGCCTTGCTATTAAATTACTACAGCCTTGCTATTAAATTACTACAAGTGCTCTTCATTACTGTGATCAGTAATTCTATACAGAGAACTCTTCTACCCAACAATTATCACCTACAAATTTTAATGCTAAAGTTTTTTATTTCTTTAACTATTAGCTATAAAAAGTAAAAGGTTTCCCTGTCAATCATGTCTGACTTTAGGCACAATGCTCAACCCTGTTTCTTGGCTGAGGGAACCAATGTTGTCCAAAGACAATTTCTGTGGTCATGTGGACAGCATGGCTATACACCAAAGGCACAAGGAAAGCTGTTACCTCCCCACCAAAGTGGTGTACATAATATAACAAGAACGTGGCTACATCTTAAACAACAGATTTCTTTCAGTAACAGTTTAGGTCAACCAGAATTCTGTTTTTAAAAGTTAAGCACTAAGTGGTGAACAACACATCTAAAAAAGACAGATGACTCTGAAAGAGATGCTTAGATTTTTCATGCAGAACTTGTAAGTAATATCCCTGGTCTGGAGGAGCAGATGAAAAGTTATGTGCCGAAGTGTTAATAAAAAATTCAGTCTGAACAACCAGAAATCTTCATATACAGAATAAATTCTGCAGTTCACAAAAGAAAGTTATCCACATAAAATCAAAAGGGTCAAAAGCATCACAACAATCTTATTCAGATTCTTAAACACTTAGCTTGTCAACACAGATCTAATTTCTTACAACAGCTTCTCACAATCTATCAAGAGTACACAAATTTAGGATGATTTTCCAAGCTCTGTCAATGTCAAAGTAATTATTTATTTATGGCATTCATACCTTTCTTTCAGCCACAAAGACTCCCAGAAAGGCTTACAAATCAATAAAAACAAGAGACAGTCCCTGACCTCAAGTTTACAATCTGAAAAGAATAGGCTGAAAGGAAAAGAAAAAAAGAATGGGGAAGGAAATGGAAAGCAACTAAATCCAGACCCAGGATCTTTTGTGCTTAGCTCTTGTTACAACTATCTAAATTAGCTTTAAAAAGCCAAAGTTGTTAATCTCATGATCAGCTGAAAAAAAAGAGTCAAATATTTGTGGGCTGTCAATTGTGCCCCTAACCCTAACTCCAGAACAGCCTGATTCTGAATTCTTTCTATGCTGCAGTTTATTAGGAAGGGCTGCTAAACAATATTTAGGAGACAAATAGAGAGAACTGATGGTTGCTTTGGCCCACTTCTCTGTCTTTAGTATGGCTTGAAGGAATGATTCAGAGAAAGAGTGTATTAAAAATGCTGCAAGAAACACTTGCTAAAAATCTCCATCTCAATAACAAGATGATCACCATAGCTTCAGGTTCGTTTGCCTGAAGCTATGGTGTATTAATCAAAACTAGTTCACAAAAGACAAATAGCACTGTAACAGCCCAAACAAACCAAGTCAGTTAAATTTAGGTCGCCTTATTTTTGCATCTTTTCAAAATGGATTATAGAATAGAGCAGGGGTGTCAAATTCGCGGCATCACAGCAGTGTCATGTAATATATTGGGGACACACACACCCCGTGCCTTTGCTAAAGTGTGTGTGAGTGTGGCCAGCACGTGACACATCTGGCCCACAGGTCATGAGTTTGATAGCCTTGGGATAGAGTCTAGAATGTGTCCCCTAAACATTCTACCAAGCAATTCCATAAAAACAGTGGTCATAATACCCTGTTTTCCCTTAAAATAAGACCTCCCCGGATAATAAGCCAAATTAGGCTTTTGAGCGCATGTGCTAAAATAAGCCCTCCCTGAAAATATTGCAACACAGCAGCAGCCATGAGATGACTACACTGTACCTCAAAAATAATAAGACCTCCCAGAAAATAAGACCAAGCGCTTATTTCGGAGGTCAAAAGAAAATAAGACCCTGTCTTATTTTGGGGGAAACACGGTAATTTAGCAACCAAATTGTTATACAGGTACTCCTTGTCTTATAATCATTCAATTAGTGATCATTCAAAGTTACAACATTGAAAAAGTGATATATGACTGTTTTTCACATGAGTGCTGCAGCATCCTCTTTCTTCGTCACATGATCAATATTTGGATGCTTGGCAACTGACATGTATTCATGACAGTTGCTGTGTCCCCAGGTCATGTGATCCCCTTTTGGAAACTTCTGATAAGCAAGGCCAATGGGGAAGTCAGATTTACTTAACTATTTTACTAGCTTAACAATTGCAGTGATTCATTTAACAACTACGCCAGGAAAGATAATGAAATGGGGCAAAACTCACTTAACAACTGTCTTGCTTAGCAATGGAAATTTTAGGCTCAATTGTGGACGTAAGTTAAGGACAGTTTGTATACTATTTTCACAGTTACTGAATTATTTAGTCATAAAATAACCAGAAAATAAATATGTTGAACAATGTGTTGATTTTATTTGCATTCTAAATGTTTTTAAATTGTATGATTTAAATAAACACTCTTTACATTTTTAAATATTTTAAATTATTTTCTTTTTGTTTCTTTTCAAGTTTGCCTTTGAAGTGGCTATTTCTTTCCATATCAGTAAAAACAGAAGAAATTATAATTGAAGAACAGGCCAAAAGTATTTTACTTACCAATTCATAATTACCATCCAAAGGAACTCTCCAATCTGAGGAACATCTTTCAGGTGCCTGCCTCCCATAGTTGTTTTGCCAATTCTCTTTCTCCTTTTGCTCAAAATAGTCAAGGAAAGATGGTCTGACAGCCTGCATGGTTTCATCTCTCCCTACAAGTAAAGACACATTTATTGATTCAGAAGAGAAGATGTTTCACATATTAATAACCCCTTTTAAGCAAATTTAATATTCAAACATGTCCATCTTGTGACTAATTGAAAATAAATAATAAAAATCTGATTCACAAAGAACTTTGCAAATATGTCCCATCAGCCTATTGGTGAATGTAGTACGCTTCATTTCACTGCTGTTATCACCATAGTCCTATACCCGTGACGGTGAACCTATAGCACACGGAGCCATGTTTCCTGACACACGTAGCATCACCCGTTCCTCTTCCAGGTTTCTGGCATGCATGCACGCACAATGATCAGCTGGCTTTTGTGCATGCGGCAGTGCCAGAAACTGGAAGAGCTGGTCTTCCGTTTTCCGGCGTGAGCGTGCATGCCGGCCAGGTGACTGTCACACATACATAAGCGCCAGGAACCGGAAGACTAGCTGGCCGGTACACATACCCCCTAGGCAGCTCCTCTTCTGGATCACAGCCCAGACGAGTGTGCAAAGCATGCGTGCATGCTTCCTTTTCAGCGCTCAGTGCCGAAAAGGTTCGCCATCACTGTCCTATACTGTGTCCAATCATTTTTGTCTTTTGTACTTCTCAGAGCTTCTTGGAGAACTATGACACACCCTATGATCAGTTACTGAGTAAAGTCCAATCAGGAGCAAATTCATCTAATACTCTTGTACTCTTATCTTGTCCACATTCCAGAAGAACTTCCATCAGGGATGGATTTTTCAAATAGGAAATAAATGCTTGATGATCATAGTAATGGAACATATATATTTTCTTGTTTAGAAGAGTTTCACAAGTCTAATTTAAAAAAACGGACAAAAATTGGGAATACATTAATTGTATTCATCTCCTAAAATAACTCAGATTAGAATCATTAGATATCAATTTCTACAGTTTAAAATCCACATTACATCTACACATTACAGCTAGGTTGCATTAACAGAGGGATAGGATCAGGTTCATGTGAAGCATCAATACCACTTTATAAAGCCTTAGTAAAACCATACTACTGCATCTGGTTTTGGTCACATTATAAAAAAAGATGCAGAGACTCTGGAAAGAGTGCAGAAACAAGCAACAAAGATGATTAGGGGCTGGAGGCTAAAACATATAAGAACGGTAGCAGGAATTGGGTTTGTCTAGTCTGGTGAAAAGAAGGACTGGAAGTGACATGATAGCAATGTTCCAATATTTGAGGGGCTACCACAAAGAAGAGTTAATGTATTTTCCAAAGCACCAAGAAGGCAAGACAAGAAGCAATGGATGAAAACCGAACAAAGAGAGAAGCAACCTAGAACTAAGATAAAATTCTTAATAGGGACAACAATTAACCAGTGGAATGCCTTGCCTTCAGAAGTTGTGCGTGCTCCATCACTGGATGCTTTTAAGAAGAGAATGGACAGCCACTTATCTGAAATGGTATAGGGTCTCCGGCTTGAGCAAGTGGTGGACCTAAAAGACCTCTTAGGTCCCTTCCAACTCTGTTACTCTGTTATCACTGCAATGCCCTGGGCCAGTAATTAACATGTAGAATTAAGATGATGAAGACCCTGGTTCAAGTCCATTGTTAGCCAGAGAATGGCTGCCTTTGAGCCAATTTCCATCTCCTACTCTAGACTTATCCATAGTACTGTAACTGTTAGGGAAACAATGGGAGGCAATAATGCTATATGAAGTGTAGAGTTCTTAGAAGACAGGTTATAAATTTAACAAATAGAGAATGCTGGGTTTATCTTATAAACCATTAAACTATTTCAGGTACTGTTTTGCTTGTATTCTAAAGATTTTTAAGAACAGATTAATGATATTATCAAGGAGTTCTGTCTCAATGTCATTTTAAATATTTAGGTATCATTTAGATAATGCAATGTTATTTAGATAACACACTAGGAATTTGTTCTCAATTATCTCCATTTCACACAGAGAAGAATCAAGCAAAACATTCACGAACAGGGGAAAAATAACGCTGTATGTAGTTGGTGTATTTATTTATTTATTGTACAACATTCATTAGCAATAGCCCACTCTGTCATGAAATGTGGAAGTTTGTGGAAATAAATGCCTCATTCTGTAACCAGTTCTTATTTTAAACATATCCTTTTAAGTTACCAATCCAGAGCTAACAAGGAAAGTATTATTCAGAAAAGTCTGAGTTTCTCCGCAGAGGCAATGGAATAGTCTCACCTCTATTTTTCTACTCTGCAACTTGATAGAATAGCTGTAAATTAACTGAGAAAGGGAAAAAGGCAACAGATAGTGGAGAGAATGGAATATCAAGTTTCTTTTCACACCCATGAATGTTCAATTATGAGGTACACACATATGTGACAACAATCCATGCACTGAATAAAATACAAAGCACTCTCAGAAACATTCAACAGATTTATCCAAACTAACAAAAAGAAAGGATAAAATGTTTTCATAACAGCTTTTTATTTTTCATAGTTAAATTACCCTTCAATGAATTTTGAGAAAGGTCCACATGATGCTGCCCACCCTTATAACCCACTCCTCTTTCCACAAAATGCAAAATTGTTGCATGATATTTATGATTGCTAAACTTTGGAATCCGTTATGTCAATGCAATTTATGGTTATCTAGAAGCTGCATAATAATGCCAACTGAAGCATTTAGTCTGCAATTTTATATGCATTTATATGTTATGGCTGTGGTTAGGTTTCTCAATTAACATACATAAAGACTGTTCTAAAATTACTGTATCAGTTTCAATGCACAATATTCCAGCTTTTGATGGTTCTTCTCTTAAGACATTGTAAAGCTCTTATGTAATAAGACAGACTAAAAACATAATTTCTGCAGCACAAAAGGCAAAATGCATGGCAATCTAGAATGTGTACCAACTGTAAAATGGAGCAAAAAGAAAAAAGGGGAGGAAAGAATTACAATCTTCCCAATATATTTTGGAGTTTCTGTAAAACTCATAAAAAGCTTTTCTAAAGCACAACATTCAAAACCATTATTTAATAGCAAACTGCAACATAGTGCAAAATGTTCATCTTGGGCCAGGACAGATGCAAAGGTTCACTGGCATTTGCAGTGCCAGATTTGTGTTGCCTGCTCGGAAACACAATTTTTGTTTGATTGATTTTTTCCTTAATGGAAATTCCACAACATCCGCTTAACCACTAAAGAAGTATCACTCTAAGTTCTTATTAACCTCTGGAAGATTATCTTATGTAAGACCTTCCTAAACAACATCAATGATCATAGAGGAATCTAAAAGGGTTAGTACTGTCTTCAGTGATATTTTAGGTACAATATTTTCACATGAAAATCACATCCTATTCCAAAGCCAATCAAGGTTCAAGGTTCAAGGTTTATTGAACTTGTATGCCGCCCTATTCCCGGAGGGACTCAGGGCGGCTAACAAACCAAAGGGGAGGGAATAATACAGACAAAAAGCAAAAGACAAACAAACAAAATACAGAAACAATTTAAAAGCAATCAACAGCCACACAATTCGAGTGGGGATGGGAACTCATCAGCCCCAGGCCTGTTGGAACAGCCAGATTTTAACGGTTTTGCGGAAAGCATGAAGGGTGGTGAGGGTCCGGATCTCCACGGGGAGGTCGTTCCAGAGGGTTGGAGCAGCCACAGAGAAGGCCCTCCTCCGCATAGTC